TTTAGTCTATGAGCTAAATTCGGGCTAAAAAGCAATAGACCAGTTCACCGTGCAACTTGAAACAACACCTAAGGTGTTTTTCAAAAGGTAGGATTTTTTTCTGTGATCAGAAAGTTTATGCAGATTTTTCACAGAGAAATTCACGTTTCAAACCACAAAACTAATTAATTTTTAAACACACAAGAAAAGTCACGCAAAAACTCTTTCGAGCACACGATCACTGAGAAAATTTGGGGTGCCAAGTCAACTGTAAGATGATTAATGCCATTTCTGGATCCCCTGAAAACACATCCGAAATACTTTTGTAAAGAAGAGGATCAGGCCCTACCTAGGTGCTCACAGGAGTATGGAAATTTGGGTAGAATCGGAGAACAGCGTCGATTCTCCTGCCCCAGCACTTGCCCGATTTATGTGCGCCATCTATTCAGAGCTACACCGAACGATCATTTACTTTCTCGTGGGTACTACTCACTGATGCATGAGGTCCACCGGCTACTGGAATGACAAGCAACATGTCCTGACCAATCGCTATTTATTGATCACGAATCGTACAAAGAAGAAATAAATTCTTCCCGTCGGCTGTTTGGCCTTTTTTTTGGATAAAATTGAAATAACGAATGCACATAAAAATATTTGAATTTTTTCTTTCTGTTTGGACAGTTCACTACGGTTGGCCGCCTTCGAACATTCTCTTTCGCGTTGACCTCAATAATAGTTCAGTCGAGAATTCCTCCTATTTTTTCCGCATTTTCCCTCTTTCGGTTCAGTGTACTGTGACGTACGAATAGAAGGAGGTTAAACATGGGAAGAGGCAAGGCACTGAGGAATCTCACTGGAATCGACAGAGCTAGCTGAAATAGTCATAGTAATCTCGAATGATATTTTTATGCGTTTTTCCTACATGAATCATAAAAAAGATCCGAAACAGCAAATAAGCATATAAATAGCATCAAAATATTTTTCCGAAAGATGAGAACTGCAATGGCCTAGACGTGCTGATAAGGAACGGTGCCTTTGCTTTTGATAATTCCGAACCAAATAGCAAGACAACAAGGGCGGCTTTTTGCCTCGAAAATCTTGGCATACATAAAATTTTGCCAAAATTTTGGCAGATTCACGTAAAATATTTTTGCCTCTACTGTTCTATCAAAGCATACATTATTTTTGGACACTCAGTCGAGATTATCGACAATTTATTTTCTTTCATAATTTTCGAATTTTTTCATCTCTGATTCTATGTTACAGAATGGTTAGCATGCTGACCAATAGGCGATAGGACGAAGCAACTGGGAAAGTCCCCGGACACATAGTACAAGAACGATTATGAGCTATATCCGATCAAAGGATAGCAAAAAAGCAAATGCATTTCAAATGCATATCATGTATCACAAAAATCGGGGATATTTTTTCATTACTGCGTCAGCAGAGCAAAACATACATATTTTTACACCAACCATCACAAAATAAAAGTCGTCCGATACGGTGGTGTATAATTCAACAAAAACTGTGAAGAAGTAACTGAAGTGATTTTGGCTTCAGCGAAAACACTGAGTTACAGAATGTCAACGTAAAAAACTCTGTTTGTCGAAGAATACCAAGATTGTGTGGAAAATCAATGTGGTAATCTCATATTAGTGTGTTACTAGAATTGTTCTCAAAAACAAACTTTTAGAAAACAAAAAAAAAAGCATACTTTCACAGTGCGTACTAGGATTTCTCTTTGCCAGGAAAGTAATACACGCTTATTTGTATCTTACTAATTTCTTAACGAAATAAGGAAATATGCTATTTCGCAAAAATTGGAAACTTACACCTGTAAGATCGTTGTTACTAAGGACAGAATAGCGATGTCTGCTTTTTATTATTTGTTTCCCGCATTTACTGCCACCAGCTGTGATCATTAGAACATCTGCTTTGCTGCCGAACTCATTAGAATTTCCCTGCTTTATGGAAAAAGCTTTTAAAATAGTTGGAAAGCACAAATACCTGGCCACTATCTCAAACTGAGGGGGATTTTCCACGAGGATCCTTCATGTTGGTTCAAGAGGGAATTTTCGCGATTTACATCTTCGCGATGTCGCGGGAATGCTATGTGAAAAGCGTTGACTGAGGAGCGGATAGCGTTTTTTGATATTTGCAAGACTAGGACTAGGACTTCGAGCACTTTTTGGGATGGAGATTCAAAAGTCAAGGATTCGAAATCGTTCGAGAAAAATTAATGTAGCCAATGCTGCGATATAAATGCAAGTCAGTTATTCTTAGAAAACGGACAATGAAAAACAGATGTTTGTTCTGAAATCGATTTTTTAATTCATTTTTTTCAAATTTTCGCAAGGCATCGCTGTTTCAAAACTTTTTTCAGCTGCTGAATCGATTCGAGCCAAACAGGACAAGGGTTTCTTAGGCGGCGCCGACACAGGCAGTTGGCAGTGCTTTGCAGTTTCGAGGTTTTCTTGGTGTTCTTGATGAGCGTTACTGACTCGTCTGGAATGCTATCATTCTTAGACTATGATGAGGTATCTTAACACCTTTTTCGCTCCAGTGAAACTTTATAATCTAGAGTCAACTGACAGTTTCATTCAGGAAAAACAGTTGGAATTTTTCATTGCTCATTTCAAGATGTTCCCCTGCAAAGCACCAAATGTTTATCGGCAAGCTATCACAAAACGAAAACATCTGCCTGCGAAATGGTACGAAAATCTTTTACAGAATCTACAAATGATTAATAAACTTAAAAGTTTAATTTCTGAACTCATTTCTGTATAGACACATAAACACTGTAATCCTTAAATCAACAAATCACATGTGTTACAGACGCTGATTCCGACGGAATACAATTACGTCAAAAAAATACGTTGCTCCTAATGCGGCAAAAGCTTTTTCATTTATCAAAGCAACAGTATCATTCATGGCATCGAATTCTTGCTATTTCTAATTTTAGTGTGATGGTAGCGCCACCTACTCGAACCGTTACATGAAAATATTTGAATGAGAGCGACTCAAAACAGCGAAAAATGGAGAAGTTGCTGGATGCAATAGTGACGAGAATGAACAAATCGATGAAACAGAAACTAATCAGAGCAGGAGAAGTTGGAAATTTTTTTCAAAAAAGAACTTAAAAGAGAAATTTGCATTTAAATTCTACTTCCGTGACTTTTCTGATGAAGGGAGAAAGAAATCAGTTTTCGGAGACATGATTTTTGTTGGAAACCTACGTAGAATTATAGCAAAACCGGTTTGGGAGAAAGAATTTTAATCATTCTCTTTCAATCACTTTTACGGCGTACGAAAAAATGTTTATCAGTCGATATCCGAAAATTCAAAGAGCGATTGATCACTTTGTCCTTCCATGCGCACATTAACACTCAGTAGACGTTTTGAATCGAAAAAATACAATCGGCCATCAATTGGATTATAATGGAGCATTGTCATCCCTCGATACGGATTGTACCATTTAACGTTCACATCAACTGTTTCATTTCTGCAAAAATCCCTCTTAATCGAGAAAGGAAAAAACTGAATTCATTTGAAAACTAGAAAGGGAAGGCAATGAAATGGAAGGATTAGTTTTAACGGCTCTAACGGAAAAGTTGCCAGTGCTGCATAAATAGCAAGAAGTAATATGACGTAATGAAACAACAGCTTATCAAACTACCCAAATATTTATCCCAAAATTTATTAAACTTTAATCAGAATTAAGTAACTATCCGAACTGTACAATTTGCTTAAAGTTCGTTTAACTTATATGCTCTATGTCAGCGTACTTTTCTTACCTTTTTTGCATCATTCGTGAAATGCAAA